AAAAAAAAAAAAAACAGAACTTGGAAAAATATGAAATGGAATTTGGGATAAAATAAAATGTATTTCATAGGGCCCTAAAATGCCATTTTCATTCAACTTTTAAAATTGCGTAAGATTTATATAGTAAAAACATTTTTACTACTAAAGCAAAGTCTAGAAAAACTAAAATGGGAAAAAAAATGGAATCCAGAAAAATTTAAACGTAAAAAAACAGAATTTGGAAAAAAAAATTTGAATTTTGGGGGAAAATAAGACCTAGACTTATCAGTGTGCATTTTTCTAAAGAAAAAAAAAATCTTTCTTCAAAGTTAATAACTTTCTCCAATTCCCAACCAGTTTTCTTTTCCCCTGATGCCATCTTGCTCAGGAACAGATGGAAGTTCTGAAGGGCAAACAGAGGGAGTTGTGGGTACCAGAGGAGACAGATGCATTATGGGACGGTTCCCCTGCCTCGCTGGTCTAATTACAGCTCAAGCACAGTTTGAGGCCAAATACGAGACAGAAACACCCTCTGACTCTCAGAATCATCAGACTGTGTTTACATACGGCAGATTCAGAGCGTATTAAAGCATGGTTTACATGAGCGCCACATCCATCACAAACTAAAGCTCTGCATGTGAAGAGACCAGAGCTCAGCTCCTCTGATTCGTTAAGAGACTCATGTCAACTGTGTCTCAGGAATCTCTGAGACAAACTAATTAACACCCGCGTCGCCTGTCAAACACTAACGAGAGACAGAGAGAGAGGAAGAGCAGTGTTTATTACGCTCAGGAGGAAAGACAGGAGGCACTTAACATGAATATTGAACAACCGTGACTTAAGCTGTAGAGGACTAATCTAATGGGTTTCATTGTGGGAGCCAGCAGAAAAAAAATACTAATGTTCAACAACCAAAAAATAAAACCATAACAAATTTGCTACATGAAATAAGCATAAACTGAAATAAAATTAAATATAAAAACATATTTAATTTTTTAAAAATTTTAAAATAAAAATAAAATGGTATTTTCTTTAAAAAAACACTAACACTAGCTTCTCTATTCTTTTTTGTATTCTATCCATTTCTTATCTTTTTATTTATTATACAATTAACAAAAGCAAAAAAGGCCTCTAACACTAGCTTGCTCTATTCTTTTTCTATTCTATCGGTTTTATTTTTATTTATTATATAATTAATAAAAAAAACCTTGTTACATTTACTGCGTTAAGCTAACTGAGACTTGTTATAGCACTTGTGTATCATTGCTCTTTTGTTGATTTTGATTGCTTCCATTGTCCTCATTTGTAAGTCGCTTTGGATAAAAGCATCTGCTAAATGA